TCCCCAGGGAATGGAATGAAGCTGTGCCAGGGGAGGTTTAGGATGGATTTTAGGGAAAGGTTCTTCCCCCAGAGAGAGCTGGGCACTGCCCAGGCTCCCCAGGGAATGGAACGAAGCTGTGCCAGGGGAGGTTTAGGATGGATTTTAGGGAAAGGCTCTTTCCCCAGAGAAAGCTGGGCACTGCCCAGGCTCCTCAGGGAATGGGATGAAGCTGTGCCGGGGGGATTTAGGATGCATTGTAGGGAAAGGCTCTTCCCCCTGGGCACTGCCCAGGCTCCTCAGGGAATGGGCACAGCCCCGAGGCTGCCAGAGCTCCAGGACACCGTTCCCATGGATGCACAGGATGGAATTTTGGGGTGTCTGTGCAGGGGCAGGAGTGGGCCTGGATGATCTGATGGATCCCTCCCACCTCAGAACACTCCATGATCCTAAAAATGAGATACCTGGGAGGGACTTGCAGAAAATGTCCACTTTTTACCTCAGATCAGCAGCACGTTGTCATTCCCTGGTTGTTGGTGGGGGCGTTGGGTGCTGCCTGTTGACGTCTCCTCTCTATTTTTCCAGAGAAACGGCTCATCCCGGGGTCCGGGAGCTGCCGAGTGCTTCACCTCAGTCCCACGGCAGCGACAGCCCCTAAAATCCCACCCTCCTCCCTCGGTAGCGTGGCGGTTTTTCCCCGAGGAGCAGCGGGACCCGCTCCCGTGCTGGCCGGTCGGGGACTGGCCTGGACTCCAGGCACACCCCCTCCATTCCCAGCGCCGTGTGCCCCTGGTGTCCCCAATCCCAGACCGCTGCATGACTCCTGTCCCTCCCAAATCTTCTCTTCCAGAAGAGCTTGAAGCAACGCCTCGGCAAGAGCAACATCCAGGCGCGGCTGGGCCGGCCGGCGGGGACGCTGGCCCGCGGGGCGCTGGGGGGCCGCGGGCTGGCCCTGGGCCAGCGGGGGCTGCCCCGGGGGGCCCTGCGGGGCCGCGGCGCCCGGGCCATGCTCCGAGGAGGGGTCGCGCTGCGAGGTCAGTCCCCTGCCATCCCCCCCGTCCCCTCGCACGCCGCTGCCCGCGCTGAAATCCCGCTTTTCTGGCTCCTCCGCTGAAGGTCAAGGCCTGCTGCGCGGCGGGAGAGGGATTGCCCCGCGGATGGGCCTGCGGAGAGGCGGCATCCGGGGCCGCGGCGGCCCGGGGAGAGGCGGCCTGGGCCGGGGCGCCATGGGCCGGGGAGGGATCGGCGGCAGAGGTGAGTGCCCGGGCCGGGAATCACGGGAATAATTCAGCTGGCATCCCTCTGTCCTGGCTAAGGCTGGGGCGTGGAACCTGCAGCCCCGAGATGCCAAGCCTGGCATTCAAACCATTTACCCAAGACTGGGTTATTTCTAAAACAAAGCTCGGCAGGGCTTGGGAGGGGAAACGCAGGAGTCAGATGTTGGTGTTGGGCTGGGATTGAGGAATTCTTGGGAAGTGCTGAGGAACCAGAAGGAGCTGGGAGTGTATCCAGAGTCAGACACCTCTCTGGGCACCCGCCCGGTGGGAAATCCCGGGGTGCTTTCCTGGGATGCAGGGTGGGAAATCCCAGATGCGGGGTGGGAAATCCTGGGTTGCTTTCCTGGGATGCAGGGTGGGAAATCCCAGATGTGGGGTGGGAAATCCTGGGTTGCTTTCCTGGGATGCAGGGTGGGAAATCCCAGATGCGGGGTGGGAAATCCCGGGTTGCTTTCCCGGGATGCAGGGTGGGAAATCCCGGGATGCAGGGTGGGAAATCCCGGGATGCAGGCGCTGACCGTTCTGTCCCGTTCTCTCCCCGGCAGGGCGCGGCATGGCCGGGCGCGGCCGGGGCGGCTTCGGCGGGCGCGGCAGAGGCCGGGGCCGCGGCAGAGGCTCGGCACGCCCCGCTCTCACCAAGGAGCAGCTGGACAACCAGCTGGACGCCTACATGTCCAAGACCAAGGGACACCTGGACGCCGAGCTGGACGCGTACATGGCACAGACAGATCCCGAGGCCACCGACTGAGGGGCCGGGACTGCCGGGGGAGGGGGGGGCTGGTTCCGTCGGGAGCTGCGCTGGGAATCCCCGATGGAAAATTCAGACTTAGTGTGTTCTTCAATGTTTTGATACTCTCTGTTATATTAAACCTTTTTTGGATTGTTCTTGCCGGGGGGGATCTTTTTGGTGATTTTTCCATGATGGGATGGATCTGCCACGGAGAATCCGATGCTGGCGGCACCAGGGGTGCATCCGTGGCTTGGGGACCGGGTCCGTGTGTGCCTCTGGAGCTCTGTGGTTGAGTTTTGGGATGGGTGTCTTGAATTTTGGGATCAGCCCTTGTACATTTTGATATGGCCACATTTCCCTGCTGGAGTTTAACACACCTGAAGCCAAATCCAGCTTTCCCAGCAGGAAGAGCCCGAGTTTGGCTGTTGTTCTCCTCCCAGCTCCTCTGGTTCTGCACCAAAAATCCCTGTGGGGTTGGGGCAGGCAGAAAACTTCCCGCTTTTAGTGGATTTTAGGAGATCGGAGTTTGAGTTCTTTCTGCGCTATGTTTCTGTGTGGTTTAAGTGCTTGTTTAGAGAAATGCAAGGCAGCAACATAAAATTCAGGAAGGACAGTGAAGTGGAAATGCCTCTTTTCCAGAACAGGCTCCAAAATCCATCATTTTTCCAAAAAACAGGTAAATTTTCAAAACGCAGGGTGCCTAAAGGGCCTGTGCTTTTCTCACCCACCCGTTC